AAAAGCGGAGCATCGCCAAAGACTACACGACACATGGAGAGAGGTTCTTCCATACTATGTTTGAAAACTATACGCAAGTTTTACAGACACGGACTTGCCTTCCTGCATACATACCTACATACAATTACTTACAGTAGTCTGCTAGTGTTATGTTTGTCGCTGTCGTCTCCACAATATTGCTATGTTCATGTCTGCTCTGCAGCACAGAAGAGCAAGGAGGAGAGATCCCGAGCGTCCACTTGCGCAGGCCTGCCTTTATCGGGCACGGGCACTCTCAACCCGCGCCCTGCAGCTTTTGGATGCGAGGGGCAGACCAGTCCCTCCAAGCAAGTCTGTTTGCGAAATATCTTTGCATTCTACTTTTGAGAACTAAGTCCTCAGGTTGTGGGAAGAGATATCACAGATCAAAGCAACTAGGAACAAGTACGTGCAGTTGCTGTTCCGAAATGGAATGGAGCTTCATGAACGGCACTCCATGTTCCGCACGACATGTAAGCCTGACGTGGGGTGCTGCAGGTGATGCTGAACTTGAAAGCTTGGGCCTTTATAGTAGCAGTAGTAGTAGTGTTTAACGATTCCGGGCTTTGGAGTTTCCCTTGACTCTGTTGACTGTTGGTCCCGCAAGTGCTTCTCCCAGGTGCAGGGTGCAGACACCAGCCACGGTTTCTTTGTGCTGTCATGCTTGCGTTCCACCCTCCACAGTGACGTGATTCCTCGTGTTCCCGTTGCCTTGGCCGCCCCGATGCTGATCTTATGCACACCACCATTGCTGGTCTTCGTCAGTGCCTTGGACCCAACATTGGCCCAACATGTCTCCAGAACTTCCACGAGATCTCAGCGTAAGCTGAGGGCAGCACATGTGCAAGAGAGTAAAATCAGGGAGAACCCTTGGCATTGCGTGCAAGGTGAGGAAAATGAAATTCCGTACAGCCATTCCTTTGGTGCTGCTGCGGCACTGGGAGGGTGCCTGGCGGGCTTTGTGAACTCAAGACTCTTGCACTTTCTTATCCCGAAGGACTCGTCGATCTGGTACGCCCTGGTGCGATTTCAGGAGAAGCTGCGGGAGCGCAACCCCGTCCCGGCACCATGCAACAAGGGGCCTCAGCGTGCTCTGACAGCTTTCCAGATCTTTGACTTTATGAACGAGTTTCAGCACTACATCAGAGATCGAAACTTGTATTACATTGACTCGAACATTGTTCGCCCATTGACCTCGGAGCTGAAGCTGTCCTTGGCAGAAGTTCTTGGGCCCTGTCAAGTTAGCTGGTTTGTCTCTCACTTTTGGGGAACGAGATTCACCTACACCTGCGAAGCTCTCAGGCGACATGCTGAGGCAGTTGTAGTTTCCGACCATGCCGGAACTTCGTGGGAATCTGTGTCTTACTGGATCTGTGCTTTCAGTAACAACCAGTACTGCATCGATGAGGAGCTAGGCAAGAGTCACTACGAATCCTCCTTCTACTTGGCCCTACACAGCAGCTCCGTTCAGGGTACTTGCATGATCTTGGATGAGCATGCCTTGCCTCTGAGCCTGGGCTGCAGTCGTGCCGTTGCTGAGGTCGTAAGTTGGGTGCGCTTATTGACATCGACTGCTGGGGCACTGGACGCACAAGCACATATGAGCATCACAACATGTTTGTTCAATTGAGCTGCAGGACCAGATCTTGGTGCCTCTTCGAGGTGCTCCAGACAATGAATCTGGAGAA